GGCCCCCAATGACGTCATGAAGAGGGGGCTATGGGCAATTCTGTACGCACTCCTACGTGCACTACAGTCTGCAGAGGTCGTGCGCCGGGTAAATCCTACAACTAGTATATTCCCTTGGGGCCAAGATATGTGCAGTCCCTGAGCCAGTTGTACGTCTCTCGTCTCTGCGTGGCGCCATTTTGCACCACCCTGCCCAGCCTTCAGTGGCAGAACTCGTCACGTTCGTCATGTAAGGTTATGTCAGGAACCAAATTATTCTGAAATTTTTGGATCGAACTTGCTTCTCTGATAAGACTGAGCCATATTTCATTTAACCTAACTTCAACCCGCGCATTGCGGTACGCTGTACACCTCACACACAGGAAGTGCAATGGCCCCCAATGACGTCATGAAGAGGGGGCTGTGGGCAATTCTGTAGGCATTCCTACGTGCACTACAGTCTGCAGAGGCCGTGCGCCGTGTAAATCCTACAACTGGTTTATTCCTGTGGGGCCAGGATATGTGTGGTCCCTGAGCCAGTTGTACGTCTCTCGTCTCTGCGTGGCGCCATTTCGCACCACCATGCCCAGCCTCCAGTGGCAGAACGCGTCACGTTCGTCATGTAAGGTTATGTCAGGATACAAAATATTCTGAAATTTTTGGATCGAACTTGCTTCTCTGATCAGTCTGAGCCATATTTCATTTAACCTAACTTTAACGCGTCCCGTAGGATCTTATCAGTCGGGAGTTTGTGTTCTTATTTCTGCGCATGACCACACTGTTGTCATGAAATTGCTTGTCGGTTTCCGTTACTCTCGCCTGCATTTATCGGCAGATAAAAACATTAACGTGCAGCGCTAGAATCACTTTTCCCGATAGGGCCTCTTAAGTCACGAGTTTCTGTACTTACTACTGCACATGACCACACTGTGGTCATGACATCAGCCTTCCTTTTCTGTATTGATCGCACACTGTGGTCATGAAATTGGTTGAGGGTTTCGGTTACTGCAGCCTGCATTTATCGGCTGATCAAACATTCACGGGCAGCGCTAGAATTACTGTGCCCCGTAGGATCTGATCAGTCGGGAATTTCTCTATTTCTGCGTTTGACCACTCTGTGGTCATGAAATTTGTTGTCGGTTTCGATTACTCTCGCCTGCATTCTTTGGTAGAAAAAACATTCACGTCCAGCGCTATAATCACTTTTCCCCGTAGGGTGTCATAACTCACGAGTTTCTATGGTAACTTATGCACATGACCACACTGTGGTCGTGAAATCTGCCTTTTGTTTCTGTAGTTAACATATAAATCTACGTGCCTGTTTCAGTTTGGAACAAAATGTTTGGAACAACACTGACACTTAAAGCTTGGAACAAAATTGTCACTTGGAGCAAAAGTGCCTCTCTGCTTTGGAAGAAAATTGCTTGGAACAAACGCAGTCAGCCCCCTAAGCCTGGCAAAACGCCCGAGACTCTAACGTTAACTACTTCGCGGGAATTCGATCGCAAAGTTGAAAGTGTCGATTACTGGTGTACTGTCGACTACTGGGCCCCTTACCCTAGTTTTGACATACCGCTTTGAGATTTTGATACATGTGAGACTACATATTTTACACAACCATATGGAGTAACAACAAATTGTATATCCATGTGAGCTTCCCATAGAATAAGCATTTCTCTTTTGTATGCATTGATTCGTCTTTCATTCACGTTTCTTTTTAAAAATACTGTAGGTCTTTTTAAATTTGAACGCATAGCAGTAATATAAGATTGTTCATCTACATTTAATAATTCTAAGTATTCATCAAAATTGCAGTCTCCATTAGTTCTCGCTATATTTTCAGTTGTTTCTTTAATTTCACTGAGCAATTTTCTTGCAGCTGTTTTTTCCACCTCTGATATTTCAGTTGGTAATTGAAGCAATATTTTTGTTTGCCTCATAGGTGGCAGAGGATAATTAAATCGGCAGGAAGTATTGCTCTTTACTTTTTTTTTTGCAAGTTCTTGTGCATCTGTGATACTGCAAGTTCATGAGATCTCCTAATGTTTCATCTTTTTTGCAAGTTATGTATGAATCAATGAATTCTTCACATTTTTGTAAGATTCACTTTCAAGAGGATCAAATTTTGGTGCAACTTTTATCTAAACTATACAATGAAAATGAAGAGAACCTGTAAAGAAATATTTGTAATTTTTTGTTACAATTTCAAAATTACAATTTAACCAAGTATTTTTTTACCTCTGAATTGCAGTTCTATTCGGTAGAAATAGTTATCAACTTCATAGGGATAGAATGGTTCATTCTTTTCTCGATAAAGTGATCTGAATGCGTCAAATCTGTTTACAATGTACCTTGCTACTGTTACTGGTTTTTGTGGATTAGATTCATTTTCTCTGCTGATGGTAAGTTTTGGGCTTCTTCTTCTGTGATTGTTCCATTGTGTAATGTATGGTACAAGCATACTAGTGAAGGATTCCATCTAGTTTTAGCAGCTGAGAAAGTCATAAATATAGCTGGTGAACCAAATTGTCTCAACATAGCCATTACCTTCTTTTGCTTTGCCTGTAAAAATTCTGGAGGTGAACGGTCACTGGAAACAATTTTAAAACGATCATTATGTTCAATAATAGATGTAAGATTTTCTATTTTTAATATCTGAGTTACAGTAACTGCATCAGTCTTCACTTTTTTCTGAGATTAATGCTAATTCTACTTTTAAGTTTGTGAACCCTTGCCTTACAAAAATTCATCAGTAACTTTGGAATATTTGTTGCTACCCTTCTGTCGTGATGTCTTGCTTCTGCTTTAGCAATATTAACAGGCGAATACTCTACCTTAAATGTTCTCGGTTTACCTCCGTAAACTGTGGGGAAAGCTAATACATCATTGTCTTAACTAAAGTCAAAGAGAGTGGAATTTGACCTTCACCTGGAGCCATTCTTATTCCACTGTCTGCAATAAATCCACCTGTCAGTAATGTTTCTTGGTTATCCATTAAGTCATCTTTTTCAGGTACTTCATTTAAATCGGAGTCAGCACAAGATGAACCATCTCTATTATCAATTTCAGTTTGTGTTTGAAATTGCTGTAGCCAATTTTCATAGAGAGTTATATTATGTTTTTTTGTATAATTCCGTATTAATCAATAGCTTTTGCTGCATTAAATAATTTTTCTGGTCTAACGTGTTCGTATGCAGAGGGATTTTTATCACTTATTCTTCTCATTAGTTGTACCAGTAAAGTATCGTCTTCGGAATCCATTCTTGGAAGACATGGTACTGTTTTATTAATATCTATAGGTACATTTACACAGTTAACTCTTAGTAGTAATCCTCCCCTGGTTCTCCCAGGTGAGATTCCAGTTATCATACATGGCGTCTCTTGCTCCTTTCTTCCAATTTTCAACAGATTCAATCCTGTC